GCTGTGTATCACTGAGAGAACTTGTCTGTAGTCATCCACTGATCACATGTTGTTAAGTGCTGTCGAGTTGGTTCCGACCCATAGCAACTCTGTACAGGGTTTCCGAGACTGTAAATCTTTGTGGGAGTAGAAAGCCTCATCTTTCTCCCATGGAACTGCTGGTAGTTTCGAACTGCTGACCTTGAGGTTAATAGCCCGATTCGTAATCACTACACTACCAGAGCTCCTTACTGATCACATAGACATGTTTAAATAAGATTTGCTTGAAATAAATTGAGCTGTATAAAATGGAACCATAGTAGCAAAACTTTTTTATTTACTCTGGTACAACCGGATCTTCCTTTGAAGCGAAGATGAGACTTTGGTTTGCTTACTTTGGACACTTCATTTGTTTGTGTGCTGTCGAATCGTTTTTGACTCATAGTGATCCTGTATAGGGTTTTTGAGGAGCAGCAGGTCAATTTGAACCACCAACCTTGTCCAGTGCTTACCCTATAGCACCACAATAGGGCACTTCATAGGAAAGACCAATCTATAGAAAAATACATCATGTTTTATAAAGTAGAGGGTTAACCAAAAGGTGGGAAACAATGACCTCAAATATACCAATGATCATGAAGTTAGCACAGAAGTGGGCACTGTTTTGTTCTGTTTGACAGAACGCAGCTGTGAGTTGGAGCCTATTGGAAGGCAACAAACAACAGGAATACATTTGATTAGAGCTGGACAAGCAGAAAAAGTTTGAGTAACATCCTCTGTTTTAGATATCTAGATTTGCTGGTCAGAGTGAAGTTTTACACAGTTTACAGATATGAAATTAGGTTTTATTGAAAATATTTACACAGGCCATTGTTCATTACATGGTGGCATTTGCTATAGGTGACATTCCATATACATTTACATACAATTTAAAACAACATGCTAACTGACCACCTACCTTTCTATTATTTAATCTATTAATCAATATTCATTTTATAACTTCCCCTTTTTCCTTTATTGTTGTTATTAAGTGCTGTTGAATCAGTTCTGACTCATAGCGATCCTGTATAGGGTTTCCAAGGAACTGTGGGTGAGTTCAAACCAAATTTGTGGTTGAGTGATTTATCCCACAGTACCACACTAGGCTTCCTTTTCCTTTATTAGGCAAGATACAACAGCTCCTGGCTCAGTTTGCCTTGGCATATATTTAACTGAAGAGAATTACACTGAACTCTCCCTCCTAATGTCTCTCTCCAGGTGCATCCTGGGTCAGGACTCCCTAATACCCTCACCTCAGCACATCCTGCCATTGTTTACCATCACAGTAGCACCTTAAGGTTTACGAAATCCTTTCAGTTACAACATATCTCTGAAAGCTCTCTGAGTAGGCAGGGCACATTTTATCCTCGTCTTAAGAAGTGGAGGCTGAAGCTTAGGAGGTGAAAGGCTTTGTCCAAGGTGACACAGGAAAAAAGTCAAGAGAGGACTAAGCTGGGGATTTCTGCCTCCAAGTCTAGCAACCACAGAGTTGACTCTGACTCAGTGATCACATGCAGAACTGAACTGTGCACCAGAGGGGTTTCCATGGCTGCTTTTCTGGAAACACAGCTGAGTGCATTAAACATTTTTGACACCTAGTGACTAACTCCAAGGAGCTCTGGTAGCGTAGTGGTTACGAATCGGGCTGCGAACCTTAAGGTCAGCGGTTCGAAACTACCAGCCGCTCCGCGGGAGAAAGAAGAGGCTTTCTACTCCCGTAAGGATTTACACCCTCGGAAACCCTGTACAGGGTCGCTATGGGTCGGAACCGACTCGACGGCACTTAACAACAACAACAAGTGACTAACTCCAAGTCCATTCTATTTCATCACTGTCCTCATCAGTCACCCTTTATCAGTACCAGGTAGCATGAGGAGAAGATGGTGGCCCTATGTCTGGTCAATTTGACACCCCTACCCCTGTATTTTCTAGTCAGGTTGTTGACACACTCTAGTTGCTTCTGCATTCACAAGAAAGCAGTGAATTAACAAGTTTTCTAAGTCTTTTGATGATCTGTTCACTTGTACTTGACTTCAGAAAACCTTGGGGGCCCATTCTCCAGGTGGATGAGACAAAAGTTCTGTGAGAATCCCCTTATGGCAGGGTAACTAATTCTACTATGGCATCCAGTGCTAGGTAATGAGGCCAGGTTTTGGTCAAGGGCTGGTCTGGGACAGCTGTATTGTGCTGATCTGGTTACAGCATACTGTATTAAATGGAAAGCCCTGGTTTATCAGTGGTTGAAGTTAATCACTAGAGACACTCTGTTTTGTTATCATAAAATCTCCTTTGTCTTATTTTACTGAAGATGTGAGCTTTATTATCCAAAATAACACTGACAGGTTGGTTGACAGCATTTTACTCTTGCAGACTTGCTGACCCAAGTCCTGCCTGGGCATTCATTGCCCACCAGGTCTTGCACACGCAACTCCAGCTATCCTGATAACCAGCCTCTGTAGACCAGTCAGGACCAATCACACCACAAATGCTACATGAAAGACATTATAGTTCCTATTTATAAGAGGGGACAAATAGCATCAAAGGTACTCAGAAAAACAAAACAAAACAGAGTTCAGCAATGGAGGCACTTTGACTAGGTTTGGGGCAGAGTTTCATCCAAGACTACTGGTGTTATTACAAGGGGCTTTGGTAATTCAACTGAATTCTCATCTTCCACGTGGGAGACCTGGGTTAGAGTCCCAGCACTACACCTCATGTGTAGTCACCAGCCACTTGTCAGTGGAGGTCAAGGTGTCACTATGCTGTTGAACAGGTTTCAGTGATGCTTCCAGATTACAACCAACTAGGAGATTGGCTAGATGGTCTCCTTCTGAAGATCAGTCCATGAAAGCTCTAGGGATCACAAAGTCCTATCTGCATCTAATCATGGGGATGGAGCAGGATTAGGGAATGTTTCCTTCTATTATAAATGGGGGGAAGGCATGGCTTGGGGGCCAAGTCCATGGCAGCTATATGAAAACCCACTGCTGCTGGTGAGCCAATTTCAACTCACAGTCACCCTCTAGGACTGAGTGAAACTGCTCCTTCGGGTATCTGAGACTGCAGTCTTTACAGGAGTCTTACCATTCTCCCATGGAGTAGCTGTAGGGTTTGAACTACCGGCCTTGCAGTTAGCAGCCCATTGCTTAATCCACAGCACTACCAAGACTCCTAGGCTGTTAAGTGCTTTTGAGTCAGTCAGTTTTGACTCATAGTGACCTTGTATAGGGTTTCTGAGCAATAGTTGGTAGATTTGAACCACTGACATTGTGGTTAGTAGTCCAGTGCTTTATCCTACAGCACTACCCCAGGACTCTTAGGGAGGGGATAAGGGACTTGGGCACAGGGGATAGAGATTGTATCTATCAGCCATCATCTTGACACCCTTCTAGTATTCCTCTCTCCTCCCAGCCTTCCAATTTCTCTTCTGTTGTCATGTTGGTAATTCTGTCTAGATCTTTCTCTTCAAATTCAGAAACCAAAAGCAAGGACTGCTGTTTGGCAATATGAAATACTTAAATTTTGTTAAAATAACTCATTTAAATTAGAATGATTTTAAGATAATATACATTAAAAAGTGTTTCTGTGTTGCCTTGAACACAGACACCTTTAATACTCAGGCTGGTGGCTGGCACACAGGTGGAGTGGATGATTTCCTGTATGACACAGTTGGAATGATGCTGGGGTGACGCTGTAGGATGATGCAGTGGACCACAAGGTGGGTTTGGACTTCAAGGTTGGGGTTTCAAACTCACCAGCCTCTCCTCACTCTGAGTTGGAAGAGACTCCACGGCACACAATCACCAACCAGAGTTGGAGTGGTATTGAAGGGACCCTTCTTGTGCAAAAACAATCTTGTCACCTGCAGGGTGGTGGCTGTCAGCTACCACTGAGTAGATTTCAACTCATTTGACCCCATGTGACAGAAAAGAACTGTCACATAGGGTTTTCTAGGCTCTGATCTTTATGGAAACAGATATATAGGCCTTTTCCCATGGAGCTACTGGCTGAGTTCCAACTGCTAACTTTTTGGTTAGCAGCTGAGTGCTTTATTGTTGTGATAACAGGGATCTTGCTTGGTTATGGTGCCTGAAATTGACCAATAAGGCATCTAGCTGTTCATTAGTTGAGGGGCCTTATTAAAAGGCAAATGCCCCGAGAGGGCTCACCTATTTCTATTTGTTATTATCTTGTAATGACAGCCAGAGACTCCCTGGTGGTGCATGTGGTTAAGGGGCTCAAGTTGCTTCCTGAAAGGTCTCCTTTCTTCCTGATTTCACCTGGCCCACTCTGCCTTTCATTTACTTGGATATGTCGGCGTGGTTGTATGAAATTCCTAACCCAGTTTCTATGCAAGTTCTGGTGATCTACTTCTAGACAATCAGCCACTGAAAACCCTTAGGAGCATAGTCCTAATCTGACACAAACAGGGTTGCCACATGTCTGAATTAACTCTTTAACAACTGGTGGTATTAACCTCTGGGTCCAGTGCTTATGCGCATAGAGATTTTGCTATTCACTAAAAAAGAAAAGAAAGTTTTGCAAGAGGAGGCAGTGGATTAGAAAATATTCTTGGCCCCCTTTTGGCTGTTTTTGGGTCATTAACTCTGGACTGTTACATGATTTTTAAAAATATGATTTCACTTTGCTATTTCAGTGACCACCTTGTTCTCCCCTCTTTTCCCTGAAAATGGGTCCAGAACATGTCTTCAATGCCTTATGAACAAAATTATTTAAATGCTGGCACTTAACAGCATTTAAATCTAAGTAAATCACAAGGTAATCCAGATTCCACATATGGGATTAAGTTAACAATCAATTCTAGTAAGTTGAGGCAGCATTAAATGACCCAATTAGCTCATTTCTAACATGTAGAACAGGGAGAAAGCAGACACACACACCACATTTTAGGAGAAACACACCCTTTTAGCTGCATATACAGTCTGTCATGGAGTCTGTACAAGTAGATAGGTGGACATTGGCTAGATGACCGAGGTCTCAGTCTGCAGGAATGACTGGGTGCGGGAATTGCGGTGGAAGTGCAGGGCACTCTCTGAGCCATTTCGAGATATTGAAGAGCTGTGGAGTCTGTAATCCCGGCTCATGGACTTGCCTGGGCATAAGCTTCGCCATTTTCTTTTGAGCTCACACTGTACCTGGGAGAGGTAAGGGAGACAGAATAAAAGCAACGCTGGAAGTGGGCATATCAGACAAATGTGCATGAACTTAACATACATGTTGGAGAAACCAACACCACTGAATATATTAGTTTTCTCTTTGTCCTTTAATGGCCATAGAGGGCAGCACTAACTTCTCTATACATTTCCAAAAAGATGGAGGAACTGGGATCAGAAAGACCACAGGGAGAGAGTCTTATCCATGAATGCATTAAGACGATTCAATCAAAGATTTTGATTTATTACTTTAGAAAGATCTTCAGTGTCATAGACAGTGGTTTATATATAAAAAATTGGGGGTAGGTTAATTTACATTTTCAGAAAAGGGTTTCCACAAAAACTAGAGGTTCTACGTACTTTTCTTGCTACTGGTTAAAGCAAAGGATATTCACCATAAAGTTTAGACTGACTCATGAGAGATTATATGTAGGAGCTGCTCCTAGTCATATGAGAAAGGTGAACAAAGCAAAGAACTGCAGAGTGGCTCAGCTTTTTCAGAGACATGCTAATGATGACAGAGGAAAGAACCAGCTGGAACTAGCAGAATGGACATTAGGAAGGAGAGGAAAAGACTTAAAGCCAGCATAAAGAGACCAAATACATGTAGAATCCCTTTCAATGAAGGACAACACAGTAGTCGAGGTGTGGGAGAAGTGTTTAGGAGCAGGAAGGTCTTGGGTGTATAAGCATAGGGTGGGCATTCCAGCCCACAGCCACATCCCTCAATGCTACTCCAGAACAGGGTCACAAGCTTCCTGGCCACATGCCTAGGGATCTTCAGATGAATTCTCCTCTCCTATCACAGGAATTTGGGAATAAAGAAGCAGCAACAGTAAACGCTTGTACTGATTATTCCATGGTATGCAGTTAGGATTTTTATGGGTTTGAAATTTTCTTTTACTAATGTTGGGCTGGGAATGGTGTTTGAGGCTTCACTGAAAGAATCAGAGGAATGATAACTTTAGTAAAAACATTTCATACTGATGGAAGGGAGAGAAAACAAAGAACTAGGTGGAGATTCACAATAGGAATAGTTAGTGAGGTTCAGTAATGCAATCTTGGAAAAGGTGACCAGAACTCACATAAAATGGTGGCTATTGGCTATGTACAAGGTACAAAAGTTTGAGGGCTCAGCTACTAACTGAAAAGGTGGTGTTCAAGTTCACCCAAAGGTATCTCAAAAGAAAGGCCTGGAGATCTACTTCTGAACAATTTGTTGTTGTTTGTTGTTAAGTGCCGTCGAGTTGGTTCCGACCCATAGAGACCCTGTACAGGGTTTCCAAGGGTGTAAATCCTTAAGGGAGTAGAAAGCCTCATCTTTCTCCCACGGAGCGGCTGGTAGTTTTGAACTGCTGACCTTAAGGTTCGCAGTCTGATTCGTAACCACTACGCTACCAGAGCCCCATTAGTCACTGGAAACTCTATGCAGTGCAGTTTGATTCTGACACCCAAGGGGTTACCATAAACTGGGAGTAGTAAACTATGGCAATTAAAAAAAAAAAAAGGAAAATGAGAAAAATTGACAGCATTCTGAATATAGTACATAAAGCAGGAATTATAAAATATTATCCTAGTGACTCCACTTATTTATTTTTTGAAGTCTTTCTGTTTTGTGAGTCTATGAGAAGAGTCTGTTATCAGTACTTTGGAACCCCTTCTTCTCTCTCCCTATTCTCAGTCTACATTGCCCACCAAATTTCTACAAATCACATTCATAGGTCAAGAAGCAGTACAGTGTCTAAAGAAAGGGACTGGGTCACTTTAAATTACCCAGTTGGAGAACCTGAAAGGGGTCTACAGAAGAACTGGGACACTGATACCACATGGCACTGAAAGAAAGAGATCAAGGTTTTCCAAATGGGTGCTGAAGGTGATGGCAAAGAGTTTGGCCAAGATGGATGCAATAAAAATAAGTTTGGCTTTCACTATTTTGGACCAAGAAGGCCATAGATGCCCAGGCAGGGAGGCTGTGCACGACAGAGTATGGCTCATGTCTTAGATTATGGTCTGGGGGCTCTCAGGGAGGCCAATGGTGTTGGCTTATAGAGTTAGGCATTTTAGGAATGATCTCACAAATGGAAATACGTGTACTTAGTGCTTGAGGAATGACAGAGGACTTACTTCACTGTTCAGAAAACAGTAGAGCACCGCCACAACCAGGCCCTGCAAACAAGAAAGGCTCATCAGAGGATACACAGCCAGCCTGGGACTGGAGGGGGCAAGGGGAGACGTGGTCAGGCTCTTGGCAAACTTACCTGGAATGATCCCAGGCACAGCTCAAACAGGATCTGATACTCGGAGGAAATGCTAACAAGAAAAACGGCAAACAACATATAGTGAACCCCAAACAATGGAATGAGCAGCAGTGTGGACTTGGCCAGCCTCCTATAACAGAAGAAAAGGGAGACTGAGCTTCACTGATAAACGGCAGCTGATTTTTATGCATGAATTGCTATCAATTTCATTTTAAGAAGTTGAATGGATTGCTTCACATATGAAGGCACGTTAAAAAAGTTTGTGGAACGAATCCATTGTCTTTTCATTCAACTTTTCCATGAACTTTTTGAAGCCCCCTCATAGAGCGCTAGGATTTAAACCTCTCTTTGTATATTAGCAGCCCAGCCCAGCCCAGCAGGTTTCTGGTTGTCTTTGAGTCTGATTTCCCTCTCTTGAATTTTAAAAGAATGATCTTCTCCCCACCCCCATTATGGTCAGAAATGTACAGATGTAATAAGAATGATTCTGCCTCAGAACGCATAAAGCTCTTAAAAGAAATCTTGAAGTACACACTAAAGACTATTGTTAGTAGTAGGTCTTACTGTTCCATCTGTAGTTGTTTTCAACGCCTGAGGCCAACCACCAACATTTAAAGGTCAGAGGCAAATTTCAGCTTCAGATCAAAGCAGCAGACTTATAGTGCAGATGAAATCCCAGTAGAACAAACACTACCAAGACGTGTTCTTTAAAGCTAGGCTATTTTTAGGTCCTGGCAGATAACCCAGGAAAACACTCCTTTGTTGATCTAGTTACAAATGCATTCTATAATACGGTAAACTGCACTGAATGTAATTTCTTTGCCCATCAAGGAGTTATTACTTTGACTAGTAAAAATAGTAGACTTTATGTGCTCATTGCATTGGATGTTGGAAACAAAACACCTGAACTAAAGCTTAACCTTCACCATAGCTATTCTTATTTCTTTTATTCTCTCCTCCGGCTCGATCAAGTAAATAGCCTTCGATTTGTATACTTTCACCTGACCCATCAAAGTAACTCAAAGTTCTCAGATTTTAGCAGTATCAGAACCACCTGGTTAACACACAGATTGCTGGGCCCAATCTCAGAGTTTCTGATTTGGTAGATCTGGGGGTGGGCAGGAAGGGAGTGAGAATTTGCATTTCTAACTGACTCGATGGTGCCTAACAACAACTTCAAGTTCCCAGATGCTGCTGCTGCTGCTGTCTGGCACATTGTCTGGAGACAAACTAGCCTGTGCCAGTGATGTCCAGCCTGCCCCTCATTCCAGTGGAATCAGATTGCTATGGTGGGACCACCCAGGTATCAGTAAGTTAAAACAAATTACAACTCTCTCAGCTAATTCCAATATGAGGCCAAATAGGAGAACTATTTGACCCCTGCTACTTTGGAGTCCTGGTGTGGCAATGCGGATTAATGTGCTTGATGAAAAAATAGGCTTGAACTTCAAGTTTGGCGGTTCAAGCTCACCAGCTGTTCCTTGGAAACCCTATACAGGGTCCTCATGGGTCTGAGGTGACTCGATGGCACTTGACAACAACAACACTTGTGGCACTACAGGATAAGCACTGGACTGAAAGGTTAGTTTGAACCTCAATGTTGGTGGTTCAAACCCACCAGCCGCTCCTTGGAAACCCTACATAAAGTCTCTATGCGTCAGAATCGACTTGATGGCACTCACTAACAACTTGTTCAGTATAGAGTCCTGTATGGTGCTGTGGGATAAGCACTGGATTGCTAATCAAAAGGTTGGTGGTTCAAACGCACCAGCTGTTCCTCGGAAATCCTCATTGAGTTGCTATGAATCCGAATTGACTTGATGGCACTTAACTTCGTCAATATGACCTATGATTTCACGCCCAGACTATGGAATCCAAGGTCCATCCAGACCCACGGACTCAGAGTCTGCCATTTAACAAGAGCCTCTGGATGAGTAAACAGGTTCCAAGGACACTGTAGTTAAGCTCTCAAACTGTTCAATCACATCAACACACACTGCCATCGAGTCAATTCAGATTCATAGCCCAAACAAACCTCACTGCCATCCACCTGATTCTGACCATAGCAGCCCAGTATAGGGTTATTGGAGCAGTAAATTTTTACAGGAACAGAAAGCTTCATATTTTTCCTGTGGAGTGGACAATATGTCCAAAGTATGAGAGACAAAGTGTGGCCATCCTGGCTTCCAAAGAGCACTGTGGCTGCACTTTTATCAACAGAAATTGGTATGTTCTTTTGGCAGTCTGTGGTGCTTTCAATATTCTCTTCCAAAACCGTAACTCAAATGCATCAATTTTTCTATGGTCTTCCTTATTCACTGTCCAACTTTCACATGCATATGAAGTTACTGAAAGTACCATGGCTTGTCAGGTGCACCATAGTCCTCAAACTGACATCTTTGTTCTTCAATAGTTTAAAAAGGTCTTGTACAGCAGATTTGCTTAATGCAATGTGTAATTTGATTTCTTGGCTGCTGCTTCCATGAGTGTTGATGGTTGATCTGAGCAAAATGAAGTCTTTGATAACTTCAATCTTTTCTCTATTTTGATGGATGTTGTTTATTGGTCCAGTAGTGAGGACTTTTGTTTTCTTTGCATTGGTATGAAACCCATACCAAAGACTATGGTCTTTGGTTTTTATCAGTAAGTATTTAAAGTCTTCACTTTCAGTAAGCAAAGTCATATCATCAGCACATTGCAGGTTGTTAATGAGTCTTCCTCCAACCCTGATGCCTTTTTCTTCTTATGATCCAGCTTCCTGGATTATTTGCTCAGCATACAGATTGAATAAGTATGAATAAGAATTGAACCCTGGCTCACACCTTTCCTAATTTTAAACCATTCTGTGTTCTCTTGTTCTTTTCAAACAACTGCCTCTTGGTCTATTTACAGGGTCCTCATGAGCATAATTAAGTGTTCTGGAATATTCATTCTTTGCAATTTTGTCCTTAGCTGTCATGATCCACACAATCAAAAGCCTTTGCGTAATAAATAATGGACAGGTAAACATCTTTCTGGTATTCTATGCTTTCAGCCAAAATCCATCTGATGTCAGCAATGATATCCCTCGTTCCACGTCCTCTCTGAATCAGGCTTGAACCTCTGGAAGCTCTCTCAATGTATGCTTGCAGCCGTTTCTGTATTACCTTTAATAAAACTTTACTCGCATGGGATATCAATGATATTGCCCGATGATTTCCTCATTCTGTTGGGTCCCCTCTCTTGGAATGGGCAAGCATACAGATCTTTTCCAGTCAGTGGGCCAGGTAGCTGTCTTCCAAATGTCTTGGCATAGATGAGAGAGTGCCTCCAGTGCTGCATTAGTTTGTTGAAAGATTTCAATTTGCAATCCATCTATTACCGTTGCCTTATTCTTTGCCAATACCTTCAATGAACTTTGAACTTGCTCCATCAGGGTTTTGGCTATTGATCCTATGCTACCTCTTGAAATGGCTGAACACTGACCATTTGTTTTTTTGGTACTGTGAGTCTTTGTATTCCTTCCATCTTCTTTGGATGCTTTCCGTATCATTCAATATTTTGCCCTAGAATCCTTTAATACTACAAGTCAAGGTTGGAAGTTTTCTTCAAGTCCCTCAGATTGAGAAATGCTGAGAGTGTTCTTCCCTTGTGGTAGTGAAACAGTATGAGCTTGAGACAGACATGTGTCTAAAATATAAACAGTGAGTGGGCAGAGGAGGGCTAAAAAGACATTATATAACAGTAAGCAAGACACTGAAGAGAATACTTAAATGGCCAATGAATAAAAGAAAAGGTTCTCAATTGTAATAATCATCACAGACATACTATATCACTGTGGCCTACACAGCAGATTGTATATAAATTATTAATGACGATATTCTTAGGACTAAATGAGAAAAAAGTGGGCCATTTATTGGGGACCCAAGTATCAAGGCCACAATCTTCCATCCTCACAGCAACTATAATTCTGGAGATCCTTCTTGTCTGTCATTTTTTTGCTTTTCATGTGTATATTGAAGCCTTCCTTAAAATCAAAGACTTTCCATTTCTAGGCCATCTGAAGTTTGGTGAAGGAAGGCTTCCATGACACCAAAGTTGAATCATAACTTCATAAAGTCTATGGTTGCTAAACACATAAAATCAAAAAACAAAAAAAACCCCAAAATCCTCAAACCTATTGCTGTTGAATTGATTCCAATTCATAGCAACCCTTTAACTCAGAGTAGAACTGTCCATAGAATTTCCAAGGCTATAAATCTTTGACAAAACAGACGGCCATAGCTTTCTCCCAAGAAGTGACTGGTAGGTTTGAACTGCTGGACCTTTCAGCTAGCAGTCAGACATTTATAACCACTGTGCCACCAGAACTCCTGTCAAACACATACTCACTTATATTGTGACTGATCGTTGCCGCCGACATCTGGTGATGTTAACTTCTGCAGTAAAATTCTTATTATACTAATAAAAAGCACAAAGTTAACCTGCACAGAAAGAGACAAGAGATTTGTGTCTAATTTTCCTTTTCACAGAGCTAGGAAACCTCCCCAGGGTCTTGTGGCAGGGAATTCTGCTGGACTGGGCTCTGTCCTACGGCCCTGAATTCATCTTCCCATGCTGTGGGTCTGGCTCCAGGCATGGTCCATTACAAACAGGTCCTAGCAGTGCCAAAGGGCTTGGTCTGCTCTGTAAAACTAGAACTAGACATGATTCTCCAGCTGGAAGTCACATATTTTATGACCTCAGGTTGTAGCAGCATAAGTAAATTCATTTTGAAATGTGAAATGGACCATGGAAATTCATTTTAGACTTCCAACCAAACATACTTGGTCAACATGACTTTGGTTCCCTTTGAGGTTCGTGTCCTGCTAAGTGAACACAGACTCTCCACTTCTTTGCTCTGTATGGTCCTCTCTTACCTAAATGCTCCTTCTTTCCTGAAGGAGGCATTATGTAAGCAAGGCAAACACGTTTCTATAAGGATTGAGTGAAACCTGTTGGGGCCGTAGTCAAACTTCCATGAGGTTCTTCTCTCCAAAGACCAGGAAGAATGGGCTTATATATATTTAATAAAGGATAATGGACTCATTCTCTGCCCAAGTGTACAACTCAATGGATAATTCATGTTTCAATGCAGAAATTACTTACTATAATAGAAATTACAATTGGTATTCGTATAACCCACCAGGGAACACTGCGGTCATTTGTATCCCAGCAACTATTGAAAAGAGAGAGAAGGAAAATCATGTTACCACTCATTTCATCTAGCAAACAAAGTACATGAAGACAAGTGTGCTGCCTGTGGATTTATCAGTGATGCTGTGCCTACAAAATAAAACCTACCTTCATTTACCAGGCCAGAAGCCATTTCATTTGGTTTTGTTATAGTATGCTTTCTGACCTGTCTGCTTACTCACCTCTAAAAGCCCAGTTTCACTGCATTTAGAGATCTTGAAACAATCAGCCCTAGTGGGTAATTTTGTTTAGTTTTATTCTTCCCGGCATGACAGTCTACTAACCAAAAGGGTGAAACCAAAGTATAAACCAGAAACCCGAGGAAAGAGCAAGTTACGTTTGATAATTCAGTGTGCCTTAACTTAGAGAGAATCCCTGGGTAGTACAAATGGTTAATCTGCTTGGCTGCTCACTGGAAAGCCTGGGAGTTTTATTCCACCTAGAGGTGTTCCAGAAGAAAGGCCGGGTGATCTGCTTCCAAAACTTCAGCACTGAAAACCTAAGGAGCACACACATGAGTTTCTACTCTGATATATATGAGATCACTGTGAATCCAAATAGACTCGGTAGCAATAAAAAAAAAACAAAACAAACTTAGATGGCAGTATGTTAGGTTCATTTTGGCTCCAGTTGCTATCATATATGAGAGATTTTTTTCATTTGTTGTTCTCATGAAAATACATTTTCCCCCTTACCTTCCAAATGGTTTGCATCTGTTTTTTTTTAAGTTTTTATTGTGAATTGAGTGAAAGTTTACAGGGCAGGTCATTAGTTTTACATTCAACAAATCATATGCTTTGTTTCATTACAATGATTATAATCCCCTCCATGTACCATGTATATTCTCTCTATTCAATTTAGCTCTTTTTTCTTTTAAAAAAACAACAACAACACTCAGGCATATATAATAATTTTCATCACCAAAGGGCACATTCTACAAGTCTGCCTCCTGGCTGCCAGCTCTCAGTCCTTCTCTTTCCATGAATCTAGAGTCCTCAGCTGCTCCCTCTCTGTATCTGTATCTTAAATGGGGGTTTAAATAATGTCCTTACAATAATTGAAGCAGGTGTAGCTAGGGAGGTTTGGCCAAGCAATTCGTTTTCAGTTTTTGATTTTAACTTAATCGTTGTTGTCAGGAAGCTGTGAGAGACTGTTGTTAAATGTTGTTAAATGCTATAGAGTCGGGTCCGACCCATAGCATCCCTGAATAGGGTTTCTGAGGAACAGCAGGTGGGTTTGAATTGCAGACCTTGTGGACAGCAGGCCAGTGCTTGTCCTACAATGCTACACTTGTGCACTGCTCCAATTATTCACACCCTATTGCAATGTGACTGCAACTCCTTTCATTGAGAGGTGGAGTCTCTCTCCTGAGTCCCTGAATCTTCGATGGAAACTTTTGGTGATAGAATGTGAAGGGACAGCCAATTTGAGACCTCTCTCAAAGAAACCCACACAGGCCCCTGATGAACAAGTCTTCTGGAGGGCAGGGATCTGCATGAAGCAGAGCTTCTCTGCTGTGCTCTCCTAGACCAGCCAGCACTCCCCTGCAGTAGACTGAAGATATATGAGTGGGCCCAGCTGAGACTAGAAGACCCACCCCATTGTAAGCCCAGTCCCAACTGCCAACACAAAAAAAATTACATAACAAATTGCGCTTATTTATTGGTGTGGCACTGCAGGCTAATGTGCTGGATTGTAAGGTTGGTTTGAACAGCAAGGTCGGCAATTCACGGTAACCAGGAGCTCTTTGGAAACCCTATAAAAGGTTGCTATGAGTTGGAACTGACTTGATGGCACTTAACAACAACAACATTGTAAGCCACCAGATAGATTTCGGGGTGATTATTTACTTAGTAATAGGTGACAGACACACCCTGAGATCTCTTTAAAAGGACTAATTCATCTTGGCTGTGCTAGTGTTGCGTTTTGGGCCAGGATTTGACTCGCTGGCTACAGAAAACACAAGGTCCTGCTTTTGGGGCATTCTGTGTGTAAGACGACATTCATGACAAGGTCCTGCTTTTGCGGCATTCTATGTGTAAGATGACATTCATGACAGTGAGTAGCTCTCTGAGGTGAACATACTCTGGCTTGAGATTGGAACCTGATCTTCAAAAATGCCTTCTTGAACAAATTTTGTGTTCTGCCTTTTTTAGTGAATACGATCCCTCCCTACTGCACCATCTTCTCTGCTGGCCAGTTCTAATCAGATATCATTCAGTCCCCAGCGCATATATGAAACTTCCTCCAAATACTTCTACTCCATATGATCCTCCCAGTCTCTGTGAGTTACAGTTGTCTTTTTCCTTCTCACTTATGGACTGTTCAGATGCCACTGATATAACTCTTCGATTGGCTGGAATTGCTTCTGGTCTTTGCCACCTAGTTTCCAGAGCACTAACACGATGAAGTGCTGCTTGATCTATCAGCATTGCTTGATCTCATTTGAAAGGGAAACACATGGGCATGACACTTACCCTGTGTCTTCTAAAACAATCCTGGTGATAGTCCATACCGCTATACAGATAGTGGGGATGCCTGCAAAGAGATGTCTCATTATACACAAGCCTTGCACTAAGGTGGAATGGGGTAACATGAAACTAATATGCACCTTTCTTAACCAGTTATGGAGGACAATGGCTTTTTGATGAAAATATTAATTAGGAACTCTTGTTTAAAGTCTTCATAAAGAGATGCAATTTATAGTTATGCCTTATTAAACAGCAAAGACAATTAAGTATGTATTTGAGAACTGAGAATCTTACAAGGGCCTGAGAAGTCTCATTCTGTATATTAAATACTATTGCTGAAGACAATGAAGATCAAGTGGGTAGAGAAGAGTTGATGAGGTTGCTGATTTGGAAGGTATTGTAATTTGAAGGAATTTTTTGTTGTGGTGACCTCTTTATTGTTGATGTGGAATGTCCCAGCATTATTCAATTTAAAAAGGGGTTCCTATTAAATGATTTGTTCTTAAGGTTTTCTTATGGAATGACTTCCTATTCCTTATCCACCTCTGACCCTGTATTTCCTCCATCTGTGTGTGCTAAGTTGGGAAAAAGGAAAAGGAACACACTATTTTGCTACTTTGTAGCAGCTGAGATCATCACTTGCGTTGAGGGTTCAAGTGGCAAGGAATGAGAGTTTAAAACAGTTTTAAAACAAATTTCTAATGAAGAGACATTAAAGGGTCGCTGAAGAAAAGAACCTAAGCAGTTCTAGTATAACTCTTCCCGAAATGTATTGTGTCCTATGAGGGCAGCAAAACTTCCCATTTATCGGGTCAGGTGGGATTAGAATTAGGAAGCTGAAAGGTTTGTATGTTATGGTGGGGGTGAAAGGGATAAAGGTGTCAAGTCCAAGAGCTTGGAGCACAAACCAAAATGTACAATGGGGCAATGTAACCGGAGCTACAGGAACACATCGGTCTCAGGGAAAGGGAGGAGAGGTATGCCTTCTGTCATCCTTACCCCATCCAATCAGAAGATAGATCAGGAAGTATCTGTTTGGGGAGAAGAGAGCCACAAGGAGGGTGTGGAGATAGAGTCCTTCCACTAAGAGCCAATAGAAGTTTGCCATGATGCAGTACTGGAAGAACACCAAACTCAGCTTGCAGCCAACCTGGAATATTACAAATAGAACAAGAGAATGTAGTCACATTTGGATAAAAATAGTTTATGGCAGACATAGCTGCTTTAGTACATAATGCACGTTCATGTTTGTACAAGGAATCAAGGACAAATCAGGGAGCTGTCTTGGCGAGGGAAGTGATTAATACAGTGGTGAGGGCGTTGACTGAAAAAATGTGTGTTATGTTAGAGGAGGCCCTTTGTATATACACAACACCCCAGAGGACTATTTACAGAGTACTCTGAACTTACTATAAGATAAATGTAGGGGGAGAGACATAAATGTAAATAACTATCCTTAAGAATAGTAAACTCATAACTTTCAGAGTGAACTGCTGGAAGGTTTTACTAAACATTGAGTTTTTAGCACTGTTGCTTGATTTCCCCCCCCCCCCCTTCTACCTCATCTCTATTAGCGGACACCAAACCTCTGTTAAGGGTGGTGGTACAATCTAGGAATGGATAAGGGTGATAGGTGAACAACAGGATGAATATCACTGAACTGCACCTGTGAAGACTGCTGAAATGGCAAATATCTTGTTACCTGTTTACCATGATTATAATAATGATCAAAAAACAAAAACAAAAGCCCAACAAATGACATATGGTGCATTTGGGAACATATAAGGGGGTTTCAAAAAGTTAGTTGAAAAATTCCATGACCTTTTTGCCACAAATTTTTTGAAATCCCCTCTTATTTATAATATGAATGATAAACAGTTAATTTCTATTAATATACAGATACGTGTTAGAAGAAGTACAGTCAGAATATTCCTTAGAAGCCAGGATGCTGAGATTTCATCTTTCATACTTTGGACATGTGATCAAGGAGGGACCAGTCCCTGGAGAAGGACATTATGCTGGGTACAGTGGAGGGTAGATAAAAATGAGGAAGACCCCCTTATATGAGATGGATTGGCACTGTGGTGGCAGCAATGGGCTCAGTGTGGATGGCACAGAACTGGGCACTGTTTTGTTGTACATAGGGCCACTGAGTTGGAACTGACTCGATGGTACCTAACAACATCAACAAAATAGATAGTGAAGATGAAAGTAAGAAAATGATACTACAATTTGAAAAAGGGCCAAGAGAACCTGTGGAGAGTTGATTATTCATGAACAATCACAGGATGGTAGGTTAGGTAGGAAGGAGGTTGTGCTTACAGCCCAGACAGGAAGTCTTAAAACATGTAAGTATTACTGGTGCCCATGCAGGAAGAGAATATGTTTACATATTTCTTGATATAAGTGTCAGTGGTTAAAGCTTTTTGGAAAGCAATCTAGCAATATACTTATTATAATTGAAAAACATATACCCTTGGATCCAACAATTTCACTCTTATGTTCCATTTGAGAGACAAGAGCACCAGTATATAAAGAGATATGCTCAATGATGTTTAGTAACTTTGTTTGTAGTGGATCATATATCGAGTCCTGGTATGGCACTATAGGATAAACACTGGACAGCTAACCACAAGTTCAGTGATTCAAACTCACCAGTTGCTCCTTGGAAACCCTATGCTGGGTTGCTATGAGTCAGAACCAACTTGATGGCACTTAACAACAATATGTATATAAAACAGAGCTGCAGCTCAGGAAGAAACAATAGAATCTAACACTGTTTCTTTTCTTAGTACTTGGTAATGAAATGCAGCACCCAAGGCCCGTGTTTCAGGACATCATAACATTTGATTAAGGTATGGGCATTATTAAGAGAATTGACAAGTAAACTACGTTACATCCAGATGCTAAAGTATCATTCATTTCTGACTCTGGCCCCAGTGTGTGTGATGGTTAGCAGTGCAGTGCTTATCCAACAGCACCATACCAGGACTCCTCGATAGAATATTATGTAACCTTTAAAAGAAGAAACTAGAAATAGGTTATGTGACCTTGATGGACTTGTGTGATATATGGTTGAATAAGGAAAAAATGATGCTGAAAAATCTATCTTAGGGAAGTGGCAAAGATGAAGGACTAGGCAGATATGAGAATGATATCCTTTACAACAAAGACCCAAGAAACCAAGTGAAATAGGTATGGATGACAGTCCTGGAACCCAGAGCTTCAAACGACAGAAGGACATCAAGTACTGACTAGCAGCAACATGGTACTATTCTTGGGAGCGCACCCCACCATTCTTGGAGATGCAGAGGCAGGTGCTGCTGACTGAGACTGCAGCAGGAGTGGGGCACCTGCCCCACAGAATCAGGAAAAAAATAGAAAAAAAAAATTGGGGAAATACTGCTTAGAGGAAATAGATAATACATTTGTAAGGGCCAAGGAGTAGGATTTAACCAATGTAAGAGAAAATGAAAGAAATTGAAAATAACAAATAGTAACATATTAGGGGAACAACCAGAGAAAGAATAACATCAACATAAACTAAATAAAGGAAGTGTAGGAATTATGTAGGACACTATTAAGAGGAACAACCTGTGTGGTAGAAATTCCAGAATCAGAAGAGACTTAAAAGAAAAGAAAAACACCAAGGAAATTATTGAAAGATTTGTTGGAAGACAAGTTCTCTAATTTCATGAAAGATGAGAAGATTCAAGAAGCTCAATGAACCCCAAAGATAGATCCCCAAACAAGTTACATCATAATTAATAGTTTCCAAACCAAAGACAAAGCATTCTGAAAGCAGCTTGGGGAAAACAAAAAGTTACCTACAAAGGAGAATCAATAAGACTAAGCTCTTACTTTCTCAGTAGGAACAATGTAGACACGAAAGCAATCAGATCACATATTAAAAAAAAAAAAAAAAAAAAAAAGCCAAATAAGAATTACAGATTCACCAAATATGATGGCTGTTGTTGTTGTTGTTAGGTGCCGTTGAGTCAATTCCGACCCATAGTGACCTTGTATAGGGTTTCCAAGGAGCAGCTGGTGAGCTTGAACCACCAACCTTGCAGTTCAAATGGCTTTGCAGTCTGGCACATTAACCCACAGCATCACACCAGGACTCCAAATACGATGGTAAAATTAGTATATTTTCAGATAAACATCATTTATGGGAATTTGTAAAAACCAGACCACCCTTACAAGGAATGCTAAAGGGTGTCCTGGGACAGAGAACCCAAAATGGCATTCAACACTCTAAGATTAACACAGGCCAGCATCACCTAGAAATTAACCCACATATTGTTGTTGCTAAGTACCATCCAGTCAGTTTCCATTCATAATAACCCTGTATAGGGTTTCCAAGGAGTGGCTGGTGATTTTAAAACACCAGCTTTGAGGTTCAAACTGACTTTGCAGTCTAGAACTTTATCCCATCACAAGACACCAGGATTCTGTAGCCCAGATATAGAAGGATCAAAAATAAACTTACAATACTTAAAATAGGAACCCAGAGATTATCAATTTGTAAACAATGACAACTACAGAGCAAAAACGGCAAAAAAAAAAAAAAAAAAGATGTTATAATTATACCATTTCAAATGAAGAGGAAATCAAGACAATATCAAGAGAGAAAAAACTGTTTTAAACTTGGGAGGATAATAAATTACAGGGCAACCTTAAAGAAAACTAGTAACACTTCTCATAAAAATGACAGAAAATCATAAAGGTTTAGTAAACACTAAAACAGCAGCAATGAAGAAAATGACAAAAACATCCACAAACAAAATGAGCTCAGCACAGATTGTATATATATGGAAGAAAGAAACCTTAAACACCACACAAACACACAAAACACAGCAAAATGAGAGCAATAAATTATATCTATCAATAATGGCACTGAATGTAAGTGGATTGCATGCACCAGTCAAAAGAAAGTAGCAGAATGGATACAAAAATAGGACCCATCAATATGCTGTCTATAAGAGATACAATTAGACACAGACAAAAACCAGCTTATAATCAATAGAGAGAAAAACGTATCAAGCAAATGACAACCAAGAAAGAGCAAGAGTGGCAATAGTCATTTCTGATAAAAAAGACGAAGGCAAAAACTAGCAGAAGAGGCAAGAAAGATCATCATATAATTATTAAAGCATCAATCCAACAAGAGGACATAACCTTAATAAAAATATCCATACCCAATGAGTTTCAAAATACACAAAAGTAACAGAATTGAAAAAAGAAATAGATAACTCCACAATAATAGTTGTTGTTAGTGCTGTTGGGTTGGTTCTGACACATAGCAACCCTGTATAGGATTTCCTGGTAGCATAGTGGTTATGAATCGGGCTGCGAACCGCAAGGTCAACCAGTTCAAAACTACCAGCTGTTCCACGGGAACAGATGAGGCTTTCTGTTCCTGTAAACATTTACAGCCTCGTAAACCCTGTACAGGGTCACTATGAGTCGGAACCGACTCCATGGCACATAATAACAACAAATCTTTGTGGGAGCAGAAAGGCTCATCCTTCTCCCAAGAAGAGACTGATGGACAATATAATAATAGTAGGAGACATAATATACCACTTGCAATGAAAGGCAGAGCAAGTAAACAGAAATTCAACAAAGATACAATACTTGATGGCCTTTAAGAACAAAAACTACCAACCAACCAACCAGGTATCATAGCTGTATATAGAACACTCCATCCAACAATACCACAATATACATTCTTTTCCAGTGTACATGGAACAGTCTCCAGAAAAAAACATGTTAGGTCACAAAACAAATTGCCATTAATTAAAAAACATCAAATACTACAAGGCATCTTCTCAGATCACAATGCTATAAAATCAGAAATTAACAACAGGACAATCAAGGAGAAAAAAAAATCAAATGCATAGAAACTGAACTAACATCCTTCTTTAAAACTACTGGGTACCCAGTGAGATGCAAAATAATTGGACAATATCAATAACCTCACATGAAACTGAAAATTTGCTATGTTGTTGTTGTTAAGTGCCGTCGAGTCGGTTCCGACCCATAGCGACCCTGTACAGGGTTTCCGAGGGTGTAAATCTTTACGGGAGTAGAAAGCCTCATCTTTCTCCCGCGGAGCGGCTGATGGTTTCGAACCACTGACCTTAA